CTGGCGGGTGCATGGAAATGCCGCTGCGGGCGCCATGGCGCCCGCGGGCACCGTGTTGGGGACCACGGCTCCAGATTGTGGCCTCACCAGTGCTGAATAAAGGAGAATAATTACTTCTCTAGATCTGCTGGCAATGCTTCTCCTAATGCACCCTAGTATGCCATTCGCCTTCTTGGCTACAAGGGCACACTGTTGACTCATATCCAACTTCTTATCCACTATAATCACCAAGTTGTTTTCTGTTGAACTGCTGCTTAGCCAGTTGGTCCTCAGCCTGTGATGGTGCTTGGGATTCTTCTGTCCTAAGTGCAGGACTCTGCACTTGTCCTTGCCAAACCTTATCAGATTTCTTTTGACCCAATCCTCCAATTTGTCTAGGTCACTCAGGACTCTATCCCTACCCTCCAGCGTATCTACAGGTTGGACCTCCCTGGTTCGGCACCCTTGGAACCTGACTGATCTTGGATGAGGGATTTTGCTGAACCAGGGGAGGTCATTTCTGTACCCCTGCCACCAGACTCCATGGCCTGGCTGCTGGACTCCTGGCTGGTTCCCTACCTTCTGCTGGCCCCATGGGCAGCCATCACTGCCATGACTCTGGGACCCTCCAGGCAATCGCATGTGCTGTGCTGGGGCTCTGGGATCTACTAGGCAGCCACGTGTGCCACGCTGGGGCTTTGGGACCTGCTGAGCAGCCACATGCACGGCTGTGGAGCTCTGGGACCTGCTGGGCAGCCCCGCTCATGGTGCTGGAGCTCTGAGACGTACTGGGCAGCTGCGTGCGTGGTGCTAGAGTTCCAGGACTTGTTGGGCAGCTATGCATGTGGTGCTGGAACTCCAGTACTTGCAGGCCAGTCATGCGTACTGTGGCTTCCTGTCCCACTGAGCTACTGGGACCCCCAGCCCAACCGGGCAGCCATGTGCGGGGTCTCCCAATCGTACTGGGCAGCCTCACTGCTACGTGCTGGGTGGCCCCACCGTCAGCTCGCTGCAGGCAGCCTACTGTCCTGCTGGCTCTGCAAGGATCCTTGCTGCTGGCCCACCACCAGCACTCTCTTGTCCTGCAACATCCGTGCTGGACCAGAGAATCCCAGCTGAGGGAATTTCAACCTGTATGTTTCCCCCTGTCTTAGTGTAATCTGCGATCTTGCTGAGTGCAGTCCATCCCCTCATCCAGATCATTAATAAAGATGTTGAACAAAACTGGCCCTAAAACAAGACTGACCCTTGGGGCACTCCGCTTGATACCGACCGCCAACCAGACACCGAGCCATTGATCACTTCATGTTGAAGCTGACCATCTAGCCAGCTCTCTGCCCATCTTGCAAGTCTATTTATCTAATCTGTACTTCCTTAACTTGCTGGCAAGAATACTATGGGAGACTGTTTCAAAAGCTTTGCAAAAGTCAAAGTATATCGCATCCAGTACCTTCCCCATATTCACAGAGCCAGTTACCTCATCCTTGAGTCAAGTTTAAAAGGCAGTACTCCAAATACAAAGAACCCTTTAAAATGGGTCCTTTTCTGTTTTTCCTTCAGCAGACTCCAGTGTGCAGATTCAGTACAGTATCGGCCTGAATAATTGTAATCTGGTTAATTATAGTTGTTCTGTGAATAATACGCAGGATAAGTTAACCAAGAAGCCTGACCAAGTGTATCTTGTAGACTCTCATATGCTTGGATAAAGATGGAGATCTGAATAGGAACTGCAATACCAAAGCAGTGATCCACCTAGTGATCCATCCTGGATCTGACACTGACAAGTACCACATAGTTCCAAGCAAGGTGCAAGAAATCCCATAATACACAATTATGGAATAAACTACCTTCAGATAAAGTTTCTTCCTAACCTTCTACCAGTTATGATTTATACTCTGAAGCATGAGAGTGTACAGTCCTTATTATTTTTATCTTGTCCAGTGGATCTGGTTGTTCTCATTATAAATATCTGAACCTTTAACACTGCTGCATACTGAGAAGAGGTTTTAATTAAGCTGTGCAAAGTTATGGCTCTCCTGAGTGGAACCTGCCAATGTGCTGTCAATTAATGTAACTTTGTGAGAATTGTCTCTAGATTTGACTAATCGAAATAATTTTTTTATGTTAGCACATATCAGCAGTTACTCCTTTTACATACTTAGTTTGTCTGATCTGCAGTCCTGCATCTCAGCTGTGATGTGAATTGCTACTACCAGAGACATTGACACTCAAATAATGCTCATGTTAGAGCATATTTGCATTTGGCTTTTAATGGCTCACGCCTGCCCCTTCTGCAATTCTGCAGCTGGAGAGTCAGTCCTGTTTGTCCCTCATTATCTCTTGCTGTAGGAGCCAGAGAATCTGTCCTTTGGGAATTTACAATTCTAGCATCTAAGGAGAAGCTAAGGAGGCAATGAACAAGGATTCTGAGAATTAGAAAACTTAAATTTGCCTGTGTCCAGGATGTTTAATTAAAAACCAGTGAAATAAAATCTTACATGTTTTTTGCCATCCTGAGGGAGAAGATGAATTGAAATGGGGCAAATGGAAGCAAAAGGCAGCAAACACTAATAGGGCCTAGGAAGAGCCTATTAAGTTTGTCCATGTGTCATTGGGTGACTGTGCTCCTGCCTGCAACCGTCTTGAGCCACTGTTGCTGTCTGTCTCTCCTACAGATAACTGACTCAAGTGGACACATCCTCTACTCCAAGGAGGATGCCACTAAGGGCAAGTTCGCCTTCACCACTGAAGACTATGATATGTTTGAGGCTTGCTTCGAGAGCAAGCTTCCAGTAGGTGAGTGCAGAAAGCTGCTCCCAGCCCTTCCTTTTCCTTGTCTTTGGTGGAGTATGTTGGGTGAGGGGTAGGGGAGAAGCAATTTCAATGTGTAGTTTGCAAAGCACTTTGGATTCTTCATGCTGAGAGGAGTGGAGTCCTCTGGGATGAGGAGTTTTGTGTTACTGGTGCAGAATAGCTGCTGCATGCATTGGTGTCAGGGGTGAAACGGTCCTTGCAGCTTCCCAGTGGAGCATACTGGGATCTTTCAGGCCCAAGCACAAGAGCAATGGGATCACCAACAGGGAATTGTGATGGTGACTGTAGGAGGAGGTGAGCAGCCCAGAAGTCTAAAGGGAGGAGACAGCCAGGAGCAGGGCTGACTGTGTTTGCTGTTCCCCTGGTGCCTCTGCAGGCTGACACCCTTTTGTCCTCCGCATTTGCCTACTTCGACTCTTTTGTGGTAGAGTGAAATCCCCTTCTTGGGTGCACCCTGTGGCAACAGCCCTATGCTGGGATGCCCCTTCCCAGAGGGGTTACAGCAACCTGTGATAGTTGCTTCTAGTTGCACAGGGCGCCCTTTCCTTTGAGTGATCCTTTGACAGAGGGAAGAGGAAGTGAGCCAGACGTCAGTCCTGTCATTATGCTGCAGGGACAATTGCCTAATGAGCACCAAGCTGCCATTTCCTGTGAGTGTGACGCATTTGCCACTCTCGGCTGAGTAGCTAGAATCAAGTTCAGGACAATTGCCCTGAAAACCAGAAGGCATCTGGGTTCCATCCTTGGTCTGGGGAGGGCTGATCTGATGCCTGTGGTAGCTTTACTTAGGCTTTGAGTACTCATCTTGCTCACAGTCACTGCAGTGGTTCCCTCTTGTGTGACGCCATTCCTCTCCAATCTTACTCTGGAGGATCCCAGAGTGCTTTGCAGACTGACCATAGAAATTGCTTCTCTCCCATCCCTACCTAAATGCACTTTGGTGTAGGATGGAGGAGCAGTTCTGCACCAGGTTTAGGACTAACTGAAATTAGAGAGAATAACCTGGCTTGGGATTTATGGTCAGGCTGTCGGTTAGCTGTAACACTTTGATTCTTTGCGGTGCTGGAGATTCTGTGCCATGTTGCATAAGAATCAGGGAGTTATAACCAACATCTGGACCAAATTAGAATTTGGGTTTTACTCTTCTCTCAGATGTCTCCTGTGGAGCACAATCCCCCATCACACTGCTTCTGGGGTTTGGGGGCAGTATTGACTCATCTGGGAGACTGTCACCCACACTATTGACTTCTCCTGGGAAGCCTCCCAGCAGACCCACCTACCCATTCTTAGCTTCCATAATCACAGGCTGAGTGACATGGCTTCAAGGCTTCTTGCTCATACAGCTGCTAGGAAGAGTTCCTAGCTTGGCCCCAGTCCCTCAGCTCTTCTCTCATGGCTTAAATGCCTATTTCTGGACTCCTTTATATCATTGTGGGTTTCCATAGTGAGGGGGGCAGAGTATAGCCAGGTGCAGCCTCCATTCAGAAACTTATTAGTGAGTGAGGTGACTCCAGAGTTGGGTGGCCTGGAGCTGCTCAGCTGAGCCTGTTGCCCCTAATGTCCTCTCTGGGGGGCTTGTACTTGAGGGTGCCTGGCTTTGCATGATAATTGGAAATCCTTATTCCCTTTGCCCCAGAGCTTGATACCTGATACCTTACAAAGAGTGCACTTTGCAAGTTGGGTGATTACCTGAATTTTCCCCATGTGTGGATACAAAGGAGTGTGAAAGCTGGTTGGCTGCACTATGGTGACTGGTGTGGTGAAGGCAGGAGACTGAACCAGGACTTTGGGGGCTTAAGTTTCTTGGAGAGGAAGATCCTGGCTCCTCTAGAATGTCAGCTCTGGTGGAATTGATTGAATTTTGCTGAGCTAATTCAGTTGGATAATTCTCCCTGCAGTCCTGTTAAGGGGTTTCCTACTGGACCCCTTTCACATTTGTGAGCAAAACATCCCCAGTTAGTGCTGCAGTCAGGGAGGGGCTCATCACTAGCAGAGCTGTGGCTTCCCCTGGGAGGGTAGGTTGGGCAGCAGGAACAGTTGGTGGAGGAAACAGAGCTGTTGAGCCAAGTGGGTTCTGAATAGCTAGGATTTCTCAACCCCCAGCCACAGAATTGGGGAAGAGGAAGTGAGTGGTGGCAGATCAGCTTCTTGTGCAGGGTCCTAGGATCTGGCACAGGGCAGCTTGCAAGACATGGGGATCTCTCCTAGCAACTCTTCCAAGGATGAATGGTGTACAACAAGCTCAGGGCTGGGACTCTGGGTTGGGGTGCAGAGTCTGGAAGGGAGTTAGGGACTTAGGGTGGGGGAAGAGGCTCAGAGTTGGGGTGCAGGATCTGGCAGGGAGTTGGAGTGTGAGATGGCTGGAGCAGGAGGTTGGAGTATGGAGTATTTACCTGGGGCAGTTCCCATTTGGTGGTGGAGGGGAACAGGCAGTTCCATGCAGCCCTGCACTCACCTGCAGGCACTGCCCCCGCAGCTCCCATTGTCCGTAATTGTTGGCCAGTGGGAGTTGTGGGGGGAAAGCCTCCAGGCAAGGACAGCCCAAGGGCAGAGCTTCTCAGCACTCACAACAATGCAAGTCTAGCCAGGGGCAGTGGGGAGAATGGCAGTGCACAGAGCTACTTGTCCCTGCCAGGAAGGGATGCCACAGAACATAGGGGCTTTACGGGCTGTAGTCCCAGGCCCTAAAATCTCTTTCTTAATCTGTCCCCATTACTGGGATTGGAGGAGTGCACCTCTCTCCCAGTCACAACAGCTCCCTGCTGGCGCTGGAGGAGAGCAACTCTCCTCCAGCCAAGGTAGCTCCCAGCTGCTCTGCTGCTGCCAGAGGAGTGCACCTCTTCTCCAGGCCCAGCAGGAAGCTGCTGTGTCCAAGGGAGAGACACATTTCTTCAGTCCCAGCAGGGAGCTGCCACAGCCCTGAGCCCCCCACAGGGGTTATTAAGCAGCTCCATGGCCGTGCAACTTAGGGGAAATCTTGCCCCCCAGTTCCCTCCTGCCAATGGAATAGTAGGGACTGGAGAATCACTTCACCACCAAAGCTTGGGGCAGCTCCTTTCCTGTCTATCTGGCACCCTACCTCAGGAACACGAGAGATTGTCTGTCTGGAGTAGTCTGTTCTCTTCCTGATATTCTTTTGGAGGCACAGACTTTTTTAACAGTTTTGTCTGACACACACAGGTTAACTTGCATGTTTTCCCTTTGAGATATAACATTAGTAGCTGTGTGGACTAGAGATGTCAACATGTAGTCCACTATTCGATTAACCGATAAGCCTAGGATTATTGTTAAATCTTGTAAACTACACATTTATCCCACTCCCTGCCTTGCTGCCTCTGGCAGCCTTCCCCATCCGTCCCCCCACATCCTTCACAGCAGCCTCCGTACATGGGGAGCTATGACCACACAGATAAGGGCTGCTGCCACCCCACATTGCTGCCTCTGTATCAGAGGCAGCAGCACAGGGTGGCAGAAAGCCATTCTGTATGGGGAGTTGGTTTTTAAACTGGCTCCCCATGTGGACTGGTTCCCACCTGGCAAACCACGCTGATGCCTCTGATACAGAGGCAGCAGAGCAGGGTGGCATGAGGATCCCTGGGGACTATTGAATAGTTGTATAACCAATAAGAATTCATGTGGTTACACGACTATTCGATTACCCAATGTCTAACATCCCTAGTGTGGACACCAGTGAAGTTGCCCCATGCCCAGTTACTCCCTTCCCATTTGAGGATAGCTCCAGCAGCTCTTCTAATGTGGCCTGTGAAAGGCCCTGTCTTCACAAAGGGCTTTGCAGGAGCTGGGCAGAGTGAATCAGGACTCCCGATCTCTAAAAGCTCTGGATCACTACTCTTAACTACACCAATTCCTCAGCGACAAGAGGGAACAGAGAATTTATTGAAGGTCCTTGGGACCCATAAAAAGACACCCTGGGCTCCAAACCTAGCGGCCTTTCAGAGAATCACCACTTGAAAGCCCCTAAACATGTTAACCCCTCATAAAGTTCCTGTTCCTCTCCCCTATTGCACTCACCACTCTCACACTCTTCCTGCTGCGTGGTGTCAATCCCCTTATCTCACCCTTCAAGGTTTGTTGTCCTGTTCACCAGGCTTCTCGCTCTCCTCACCTCAGCCTGAAGGTCCCAAAAATCTTACCCAAACTTCTGTAACTTACATAATGTGCAAAAAATATATCCCACTGATTTGCGCGCTTTGAAGGACATTGCATGGCTGTTGGCTGTAGCTCCCCATTTTCCATCTCAGCCTCCAAATCTGTCTGCGTGACATACACAAAATGTGTGGCAAAATGCTGAAATGTGAAACCCCCGAGGTTTGCTTCATATCATGGTGTCACTGGCAGATATAATGTTTTTTAGTTCTGTTTTAAGGATTTTTCTTTTCTGTGGGTATGTCTACACTATAGCGTTATTTCGAAATATCTTATTTCAAAATGGTTAATTCGAAATAAGTTATTTTGAAATAACGCGTCTACACACAAAATGCATTTCAAAATAGCGCGTCTACACTGATTGGATGGTTCCAGCAGGGCATCAGGTCAGTAGTTGCTTTGTGTGGCAGCTATCTGAGGCTGTGCTTAAAGGGACCCCCTTGGACAGCCGGTTCTCAGGTTTTCCTGCTTACTTGCCTACATTGCTGAGGGACAGCAAAGCATTTTTCTCTCTGATTGCTTTGGTTGCTCTCACTCGGGACACCACAGCACTCGGCACCATGGAGCCAGAGCTGCCTTTGGGCACTCTGGTGCTCATTTTGGATGTGTTGCTGCAAGCCTGGCAGCAAGTGCCGGAGACTGCCTGGCAGCTTCTGCAACAGCCCAACCCCCAGGCCCTATTCTGGACCCCCCTGGGGGTCATGCAGGCGCAGCGGCTGGACGCCAGTATGCCCCACCACATGCCCTGACTGGCACGGCACATGCACAGGTTGCTGCGTGATCCGTGCTCAGCAAGGCCCACATGTGAGGTCCCTGGGCTCCTTCCCCCCCTCTTCCCCCGCATAAGGGGACAATGTGATGGCACTCACATGTCGAGGCCTCCCCGGCTTCAGAAGACAGCAGTGATAGTGCTGGAATGCCTCGGGGCTCCAGGGTGAGTGTCTTTCTCCCTCCAGGCTCCTGTGACTCCTGGCCATCGTCCTCCTCGTCCTTCTGCTCTGTGCCCTGGCCAGGACCCTCTGCCCCAGGGTCGATGACCACCTGGGGGGCATGGACCGTCCGGCCCTACAAGATGCAGTCCATGGCAAGGGGTCTGGGTCTGCCCAGGTTGGGATCTGTCCCCTGTGGCCGTGGCATAGGCCTGCCTCAGCTCTTTTATTTTCATGCACACCTGCTCCTGGGTGCACATGTCACCTGCTCCTGGGTGTGCATGTGGCCTTTGGTGGCCAGGCTGGCAGCTATCCTGCCATAGATGGCTGCGTTCCTGCGTCTAGTGCGGAGATCATGGACATTGGAGGATTCCCCCAAACCTCAATGAGGTCCATGATCTCCGCACTGGAACAGGAAGACACCTGCTTTTCCGGCCTCTGGCAGGCTCTTGGGAGCTGCCAGCCTGCTCCTGGGGAGCGGTGGAGGGCTGGCTGGCACTGACTGGCTTGCTCATGCTGGCAACTGGGTCAGGGGCAGGGCCTGCGGACTCTGGGCTGGCATAGACCTGGAGCTGGCATAGGCACTATGGCCAAACAAACTCTACCCCTTTAAGGGCTCCGGGGCTGGTGTGGAGAGCAGAAGCGTTCTCCTGGTTTGGCCGGAAGGGCTGGAGGCCCCCTATTTCGAAATAAGCATCTAAACAGCGCTTATTTCGATTTAGCTATTTCGAATTTGGCGTTATTCCTCGTAGAATGAGGTTTACCAAATTCGAAATAAGTGCTCCGCTATTTCGATTTTATTTCGAAATAACGGTTTGCCTGTGTAGACACTATTAAAGTTAATTCGAAATAAGGGCTGTTATTTCGAATTAACTTTGATGTGATATTGGAGAGCAGGACTCATAGATTTTGGTCTCTGCTCTCGGAGGGAAGTGTTACCTAATGGTTAGAGACAATAGCTGAACACATAGTTCTGACACAATTGTAGCTGATGGGGATAAAGAGATCTGCGATATTTTCCCACCTCAGCTTGAAGTGACTTGGTGTAACACTGGATTTTACTTATTTGTAAATTGGAGGAATGACACTTGAGTATTTCCTAAGGAAGCCTTGGCTGTGCTCCTTGACAAGGACTCTGAAGTACACAGTCTGGAGAGATGAGATCAGAACTTGTGCTGTCCAGGCACCTTCTTTAGGCTGCAGAGTATTCAGGGCCATCTCTATGGGGGTTTGGGACCTGGGGTAAGCTCCTGTCCCAGGCCTGAGGCAACCCCGCTTGTGCCCCAGGCCCCACCCGACCTCCTTCTGCCCCTGCTCTACCACCTCACCTCTTCTTGCCCATACTCCCCCCTCTCTCATCCTGCTTGCACCCTTTGCCTGAATCCCCCTTCCCTGACAGACCCAGGGGATTACTGGTGTGCCTGGGATCGGACAACAGCAAGGTTGTCTGTCCTCTTCCCCTCACTGCAGCAGTGGAAGCCACAGAAGTGGAGCAACCCAGCAGCCTGTTGTGTTCCACTGGCTATCTCCCAGCCAGGTTCATGGGAGAAGGAAGCAGAATGACCCAGCCCTAACCAGTACACTCGCCCATACTCATACCACTCCACTTCCCACCACCAGTGACTGGGAGATGGCAGAGTGTGGAGCAGGCTGCTGCATTGCTCTGCTTCCATCAGCTCTCACTGCCATGGTGAGTGCAGAGGGTCCTGATCCTCGCTGTCACCTCAAACCAGGACCCCCAGTAATTTCCCGGGCCAGTTCCCATCACTGTGGGTCCTGTCCATAGGAGGTTGGGACAGCCGCTGTGAGGGCCCCCCAAAGCATGGGACCTGGAGTGGTTGCCTTAAATTGTCCTATGGATGGGATGGCTCTGAGGGTTTTGAATGGGGAGGGTGTCTCATCTAAAAACACTTCCTGGGTGGGACATGTGGTGGAACAGGCAGCTTGATGTGGCTGAAATGCATGGTTCTCTGGAAAATTCTGTATATTTGTGTTCTTTTCCCCTGTCCTCTCCCAGAGGTGATAGTTGGCTGTAGTCCTGAGTGCCTGTTGGCTCCTCTGTTCTCTCCTGGTTTGTGTTTTGGCTGTTACCCTTTATATTTGCATTGCACTGGGGTGGCTGTTGGCTTTAGCCCTTGCTCTACTTGTGTGTGTGTCTAGCCTGCTTGCTGAATGAAGGTGGCTGTGTCTCCTCTGCCTTGGGAAGTCCTATTCAAAGTTTGGGCGCACTTTGGCTGTCGCGGTGCCAGGCAGCCGTTTGTGTCCTGTGTGCTTAGTGTTTTTAGCTATAGTTTGTTCTCATTATCTGTGGGAGCCTGTCCCTCAGCCAGGGCTTGTTCAGAAGGTCCTGTGATTTTAAGCAGGACTGTGTTGCCTCTCCAGCTGGCTGGAGACTTGCCAGGGAAGGAGGAGTGATATGAGTCTCTCTCCAATGGGGGGCATAGTGAGTTCCTGGCAGCCTGAAAACTGCACACAATGAATCCTTTCATTGCACTTCCAGGAACGGGGCGGATGCCGGACCAGCTCGTGATCCTGGACATGAAGCATGGAGTGGAAGCAAAAAACTATGAGGAGGTATATCCCTTTTCTGGTGCCAGTACCTCAGAGCTCTTTCCTATCACTCACGTGATGCTGTGTTTGGATCAGGGACTTGTGATGGGAAACTGCTTTCCCAGCCACAATGACAGCCTGATTGCAGCTAGAAGCGTCTGTTAGCACCTCATGTGGTAGAGTTTTAAAAAAACCTGCTGCTCTAATTCTGGGAGGGCTGAGGTCTAAGGTATAAGTTTCTTAGCCAGCCAGCATGGTTTTAGGTATTAGAGTCAATAACAGGTTAACGCCAATAGTTTCCACTGCCCTAACAGCAGAGGGCAATGCAGGGAAAAGGCAAATTGTCCTAAATGTGAAGCGTTATACTTTCTATTCACAATCATGAGAGGTGCTTATCCATAGTCTCCTAGGTGACTCAGTAGGGTTGTTAAAATGCATTTATTTTTGTAAACATGTAATTGCTGAAATTTACAGCTGTTACATTTTTACATGCAGAAGAGCAGGCAGGAGCTGGTGTTGGTGGGGAGCTGGCTTTTAGGCTGGCTTTCTCTGAGCACTGGCTCCCTCACGGCTCTCCCTCCCAGAGCTGCTGCCTGTGGGAGTTGGCACCCTGTGCCTTTGTATCAGAGGCAGAAGGGTGGGGGGCAGGCAGCTCTGCGGGAGCTGGTACACATGCACCAGCTCCTGCCTCCTCCCTCCCCCACCTCTGACACAGAGGCAGTGAGGCAAGGATTGCTGCATGTAACTGTTAGGATTAACCGATGAGTCCAGGCTCATCCGTTAATCATGTACACACATTAACGTTCACATCCATGGGACTCAGCTGCCTTTCTAGGGACAATTGCAGCATTTCTCACAGTCATGAGTAGGGATGCTAATAGGTTATCGGTTACCTGGTGTCAGGGCTGTTCCCCTACTCTGGCACTCTTGAGTGGAGAAGGTGGGGGCCTGCAGAAGACCTTAAACACCTTGCCACTATAGGCTCTGCTTACAAAAAAAACCTCCTCAGAATCACAGATGTACTGACTCTGCAAGATAGGCTGCCACCAACAAGTGATTTTTGTAAAGAACCCTGTAATAAACAGGATGTATAACCCATACACCAAAGTGTGGTTCACTGTCCCATGCGGTGGCACCTAGACCACAGCAACATATAAGAATAAGAGACCTCTAGAGCATGGACTGAGCCAGCTGGCTTTTAGCTCAAAGGGTAGAGGCTCCTATACTAAGCTTCAGAGGTCCTAGGTTCAAATCCATTACACCAAGGCCATCTTTTCCTACATTTTTCTGCGTGTCATCTCAGCATGTGTGGTCTTCTCAGAGGGGCTTCTTTAATAATGTATTTTGGGTATTTGACAAAGAATTTTAATGAAAATGTAGCTTGATTTCTTTGTTGTTTTAAGGGATATTTTTGAAGCCCTCTTTTATCTGTTTTTAAATTAGCGCTCTGGCATTGGAGGCCTCTATTTGAAAGATTGTTTTATAAATTCTAGCTTGTCTTCTCAGATCTGGACACTACCATGTGCACCAATGGTGCTGAATAAATACTAATGAGCTACTGTTTTATGGTAAATTACTAACATAGCTTAATTGGATTTTTGATGTGTTTGTTTTTCTCTTGGTGTAGTATTATAGAGAGATAGGGATGCAAATATAGTGTACCAAAATTACTAATGAAGTATGGGATTTAAATATCTCGTGCTTAATTAGCATAATCGCGTCCGACCGTTTTTTCAAAACTGAGCTTTTTTGGGCGCGGCAGCCATGTAAATGTAAATGAAGCCGCGATCATTTAAATCGCGGCTTCATTTCCCTTTGCCTACAACCCTAATCTACATGCCTCTGCCGACAGAGGCATGTAGTCTAGACACAGCCTTTAATTCCTTCCTTAGGTGTACCCCAAGCTCTTCTGCCACAAGAGAGCTTGAAAAAAGAAACAAAAGAAAACACAGAAAACAATCTGTGTCTTTGATAGTTGACCTCCCAGGCTAGGCAGACACACACACAGACCTCTTGTTACCTTCCAGGACACAAGAATAAAAAAAAGGTGATTTTATTAACAAAACAAAAAGATATACTCAATCAAGTGTAATTGGTTGCCAAGTGTTACAGATCAACTAAGAAAAGAACAGATCAAAACACAAAGAAACATAGCTGTAGCTAAATATGGTTAGGAAAGGAGGGAAGGCACATGGAATTCACACAGAGAAGTTTAACCAAACAACCAAGCCCTCCCTCCCCCCACCCACAACCCTGATCGCGACTAAATATACATTTCTCCCCCTTATTTACTCACAATCCATTCATGGTCCGGTCCACTTCTATGTGCCAAATTTCTTGATTATTATTAGTCCTGATTATTGCAAATTTCTCCCTCTAGCCCTTAACTTAGAACTTACAAAAAAGGAAGAGCAGCTAGGTATCTATATACAATTCAGATTTCAACAGTCCTTCCCATTGGCTTCCCTGGCTACTAGAGTTTAATCCTTTAGTCACTGGGTTTTGGCCTTCACTTCTATCCATCACCCTTAATCATTTTAGTTGCCCTTTTCTGAACCTTTTCTAATGCCAAAATATCTTTTTTGCGGTGAGGAGACTCACCTTTTTTGAGGTGAGTATTTAAGATGTGGACGTACCATAGTTTTATATAGGGGCAGTAAGATATTCTTCGTCTTATTTTCTATCCTTTTTTTTTAATAAATCCTATTTGCTTTTTTGACTGCCGCTGCACACTGCATGGATGTTTTCAGAGAACTATCCACGATAACTCCAAGATCTCTTTCCTGATCAGTTGTAGCTAAATTAGCCCCCATCATATTGTATGGATAGTTGGAGTTATTTTCTCCAATGTGCATTACTTTACACTTATCCACATTAAATTTCATTTGCCATTTTGTTGCCCCATCACTCAGTTTGGTGAGATCTTTTTGAAGTTCTTCACAGTCTGCTTTGGTCTTGACTATCTTGAACAGTTTAGTATCGTCCACAAACTTTGCCACCTCATTGCTTACCCCTTTCTCTAGCTCATTTATGAATAAGTTGAATAGGATTGGTCCTAGGACTGACCCTTAGAGAACACCACTCGTTACCCCTCTCCATTCTGAAAATTTACCATTTATTCCTACCCTTTGTTTCTTGTCTTTTAACCATTTCTCAATCCATGAAAGGATCTTCCCTTTTATCCCATGACAACCTAATTTACACAAGAGCCTTTGGTGAGGGACCTTGTCAAAAGTTTTCTGAAAATCTAAGTACACTATATCTACTGGATCCCCCTTGTCTACATGTTTGTTAACCCCTTCAAAGAACTCTAAGGGTACGTTTACACTTGCTCCCTATCTTGCGATAGGGATGCAAATGTAGTGTACTGAAATTGCTAATGAAGCACGGGATTTAAATATCCCGTGCTTAATTAGCATAATCGCGTCCGACCGTCATTTTGAAATTGCATTATTGCGAAATAAAATGCCCCGTGTAGCAGCATTATTTCGAGAGAAAACCCTTCTCTTGAAATAACTGTTAAACCTCATTGTATGAGGAGTAACAGTTATTTCGAGAGAAGGGGTTTCTCTCGAAACAACGCTGCTACACGGGGCATTTTATTTCGCAATAATGCAATTTCAAAATGACGGTCGGACGCGATTATGCTAATTAAGTTACTCCTCATACAATGAGGTTTAACAGTTATTTCAAGAGAAGGGTTTTCTCTCGAAATAATGCTGCTACACGGGGCATTTTATTTCGCAATAATGCAATTTCAAAATTAGCGGCCGGATACGATTATGCTAATTAAGCACTTCATTAGCAATTTCGGTACACTGCATTTGCATCCCTATCTTAAGATAGGGAGCAAGTGTAGACGTACCTTAATAGGTTAGTAAGACATGATTTTCTTTTACAGAAACCATGTTGACTTTTGCCCAACAAATTATGTTCTTCTACGTGTCTGACAATTTTATTCTTTACTATTACTAATTGGCCTGGTACTGACGTTAGACTTACTGGTCTGTAATTTCCAGGGTCGCTTCTAGAGCCCTTTCTAAATATTGGCATTATGTTAGTTGTCTTTGACTACACAATTAGTCAGTTACCCACTTCTTAACATTCTTAGGTGGGGAAGGGCTGCTGTCCTGGCCTCCCTCCCAGAGCTGTCCTCTTTTCAGATTTGAGCTCCGCTCCCCTTTTAACACTTTCCTACAGCTTCTGCATGCCTGGCAGGAGGGAGCTGTCTGAGCCCCTTTGTTGTTCGGCATCGTATTTTGCTATCCCTTCATAGATACCTATCTCTTGTCCTCCTCAGTCAGTGCTGCTGGACTGCTTTGGGGAAAGGCATTGTGCTGGGAGTAGAGCTGAAAGCTGACTTCACTCTCCTGCTGCCTTGATCACACATGGACACATGCAGCTGGATTTGTGGGAGGGAGGGATATTTGGAGATTGGCTTGGCTCCAACTGTGCTTTGTCCTTTGTGTCTGAGATGGGAGTCTAGTTTGGGTAGTTCCATGGTCTGTGGACCTGCAGTCTGCTCATTAGTTCCAGAAATTAGGGAAATACTCTCCCCATTTTACAGATGAAGAGTGGAAGCATGGAGAGGGGAAGGGACTTTCCAGAGGTCATATAGGATGCCTGTAGCTGAGCCAGGAAAGGAATCTTGGAATCTCCCATGTCCAGGGATGAAAGTAACTTACATTTCTTACCAGTACTGTCATATTGTGGGACTTAGGGAAGGGGCTTGGAGGGGTTGTGATATCACAGTACCTGTAAGAAATGTAAGTGTGAGATGGAGTGCAGGGAGATCAGGGCACAGGGTTTGGGTCGTGTGTGTGTGTGTATGTATGTAGTGGAGCTCAGGGCAGGGTGTTTGGAGGTGAGGGGAATTCAGGGCAGGTGGTAGAAATGTGGGGGAGTACAGGAATTGGCAGAGGTGGGGGGGGTGAAAGAGTCAGGCCACAGTGTGGAGGAGTGCAGCAATCGGCACGGGGTGAGAGGTGCAGGAATCAGGGCACTGGGGTGGGGAAAGCTTGGGG